CTTTTTTTCTTTCTTTCCTTCTTTCCTTCTTTCTTCCTTTCTTTCTTTCCTTCTTTCTTTCTTCCTTTCTTCCTTCCTTTCTTTCTTCCTTCCTTCCTTCCTTCCTTCCTCCCTCCCTCCCTCCCTTCCTCCCTTCCTTTCTCTCTTTCTCTCTTTCCTTTTCTTACTGCCCTTTCCTGTAGTCCTGGAGCTTCCCATCTTGGCTTGTGTTCATTCATTCTCCACATACTCGTTGTTCCCTGTCTTGTGATTTGGAACAGAGGAGCGGTGGACCCAGTGGCTGTGTGTTGAGTAGCCTTTCATTTAGGGTTCTGCTGGGCTTTGTTCAGTTCAGTATACATTCATAAAACTTAGTTCATTTTTTTAACATGATGATTATTCATTTTTCTGCCTCACACATTAATATTTCAGAAAAATTACAGGTTATTTATGCTATTTAAAATCTGATCAGTTATTAAAGTCATGTTTAGCTTTAGCATTTGGGTATAGATTCCCCAGACTGGAAGCAAGAGAATGTAAGAATGGAAACCCTACTCGGGTAGGAAAAAATTTCAGTTGTAGTGTGGAAAACACAATTGTAACCATGTAGCAGCCTTATAGTTAGTAAGTTAGGAATGCTAACATCTGAAACATGTCATTTGTCACTTAGAGAAAGGCTGGGATTGGTATGTGTGTGAAGGTTTCCAGCACATACTTTGTCAACAAGCAGACGCCTTACAGACCCTTGGAGTAGGCCCAGAGTTAAAGGTAAGTCCATTTGTACCTGGGTGTCAGCTTCACATTTTGTTGTTTGAAGAACAGTAGGTTTAGAGTAAGACTGAGGAGAATAGTAGGGCTGTCAGTAATAACAAGACCTACTGGAAGAATCATTTTCCAAATGACTTTGCTTTAATCCTTTTACTAGGCCAGCAATTCCCGAAGTGTGTTCTACAGGATGTAAATAAGCAATACATCCAAAAGATAGATAAGAAAGGTTTTGGTCTTCAGATACTTAGGAAACATTGGGTTAAAATAAAACAAATAACTTTGCCCACTCCTTGGTGCCTTTTATGGGTTAATGTTCTTTAACTTTTAAGGGGACGTGGTATACAATGTTGGAGAAGAACACCCTTTGTGTGTGTATGTGTGTGTAGCATCCATGAGGACCTGAGTTCTAGAGAATGCACTTCGGAGAGTGAGACATTAAACCAGTGGTTTTTAAACTTGAATGTGTGTAAGAATCACGGGGAGGGCTTGTTAAAACCACAGCTTGCTCGACCGCACCCCCGTTTCTGACGAAGTGGGTCTGGAATAGGGCCTAAGCATCTGCATCTCTAGCAGGTTCCCAGGGGTCCTGATGCTCCTGGCCCAGGAGCCACACTGACTTGGCCGTCTCTCAGGTGACCATGGGATCCTGCCTGTTATTTGGATTTCATATTCCCTCAGCTAGTTGAAGCCATTTCTGGAATTCTTTAAAAAATTGGTTATCAGACAAGTAGTTATTATACAGTTGCTTTATGCCCATCATTGGAAACAAAGTGCTTAGCAATTCAGCTTAGCTGGAGAGAGGATTTTATGCATATATGGAATGAGTAAACATGAAGTTTTATAAAAATAGGTGCATAAATAACAACAAGGGCAAACAGGAGGGAGGAAGGTCAATGTGTACTGAGGTCATGAAGAAAAGATTCGTACAGGAGCCTCTGCTGTTCAGACCAGTGTCTGCAGCAGGTCAGAGCAGTGGCTCCTAGACCAGTGTATGGCCTAAGCGGACTCTGAGCCTCACCCATGGTGGTTACTGCATTAGAGCAGGTTCCTGGCAGGCTGGGGACTTGTGAATGTGGTATCTCCTGCGTAGTCACCCTGCGTATAGGTGCTTTAATAGCTTCAGGTAGTTACACCGAACAGCTTCAGTGGGGATTACTCCTGTATAGCTTTCTACCTGCTTCATCTGGGTTAATCCTGAAGACAGTTTCTCTGAAATCAGCCAATGAGCATAACCATTTAGACCTGACCAGTCTCATGGCACAGGAATGACATTAGGATTAGAACACGGGCTCCAGAATCAGAACTGACTCCAAATCCTGTCCATGGCTTTTCTGCTTATTGGCTGGGTCACTGTGGCAGAGTTACTCAGTATCTTCAGTGGTAAGAGGAGGGTTAATAGCTATCCTGCAGTGCTGTGTTAAAGCTCATGGATATCTTGTCCCTAGTGGGTGATGAGCAAATGCACAAGTTGTTTCGTTTGTTTTGTTTTACTTTCACTTGGGTTGGGGTGGGAGGGTCAGTAGGTCACCAGACCCAGTGGTAGCTCTGTAGTCACATATAAGTTGCTTGCTTTCTCTGAATCTTAATCTACTTAACTTGTAAAGGAAGGTATTCTACTAGGTGACTTTAAGCAACTAGTCCTTCCTTCCCTAAAATGTAAGATTCAAAGAATTTATTCAGTGTTTTCCATATACCTGCTATTGAAATGACAACCCTTTTTAAGGACAATTAAATAAGAAAGGTAGGAACACATTTAGATGGAAGGCAATATGTGAAGTATGAGAGATTAGAGCTTCCGTAGTATAGATGTGCCAGTGTATTTGTCATCATAACCTGAATCACCACTCATTTCCCTTCCACCTTAGAATGAAGTTTTGCATAATTTTTGGAAGCGCTACCTTCAGAAGAGCAAGCAAGCATATTGTAAAAACCCAGTTTATACCACTGGAAGGAAAACTGCGGTAAGTCTGGGAAGTGGAACCAGAAGACATTTCTAGGAAGAGGTAGAGATTAAGATGAGGTTGAACCTTTCCTGGGTTTATGGTGCTTATCAGAGGATTTTCAGTGAAGAAGTTTCCTTTATACTCCAGAAGGATGGGGTCACTGACCTAGATGCTGAAATTAATTTTGACTTCTTATTTGACCAGTTGAAACATAGAGAAATGTGTGGTTAAGTTTCCAAATAGGAGCTTGAGGGATTTCTGTCACGGTGCTGTTAGAAGCTTTTTTGCATGTTATTCTTTTCGCTTGGAACACCTGTTGCTTTACCTGGCACTTCAAGATTCAGCTCAGCTACCAACTCTTCTCAGAAGCCATTAGGTGAAGAAAGCTAAATCTAGGTGCTTCATCGCCGCACCCCAACCATCAGTTTGCTTCTAACTGCTTTATAAATATGCCACGGGTCAATTTATTTGGGGTAGAGGAGGATTCTACTGCTGAGAAGTGCAGGCTTGATAAGTGTGTTTGATGTGTTTGATGTGTGATACTTACTCTCCAGGCCTGAGAAGAGATTCTGAATCTATTTGACACATGTTTGTTAAGAGCTTGGAAACTGGGCTCAGTGTTTCCTTGTTTGGTGGGAGTCTCATAGGTTCCACGTGCAGAGTTTAGTGACCCAGCAGTGAAAGGATAGGTCCTAAGAAGAAAAAGGCTAGAAATAACAGGTAGAGCAGGACTATTAATAGTTCAATTTTGGATGTAAGTTTGAGGCAGCTGCTGGACATCCAAGAACAACTGTCAAGTGCTTAGGTATACAAGTCTTCAGTTGAGAGAAGTCTGGGCTGGAGATATAAATGTGGCAGCTGTCAGCTTACAGTATAATCATCAAATCTAAAATGCCATTGTTTGTGCGATGCACCGTTAGGTACCCTCAAGAAAGAAAGAAAATCATGTTGCAAATTAGATTGTGATGTGCCATTGATTGTGAGATACATCCTGATTTCAAGGACGTCAAAATATGGAGACGGGGGTGTGCATTGTGGAGGTGAAAACAGTAAAGTAGTAGATGGTATTTAAACCACAAGACCAGATGGCATACCTGAGGAGTGAAGCCAGAGAAGAGGACTGAGAATTGAGCTTGGGGCCACTCTAGGGTTGAATTGTCTGGGATAAAAGAGGAACCAGCTGAGAAGTCTGAGGAACAGCTGATGAGGTAGGAGGAAAGCCAAGAGAGTGAGGGGGGCATTATGGAAACTAAGGAACAAAGTGTCTTAAGAAGAGGGCAGTGATCATCTGTGAGAAATGCTGCCTCTGGGTCAGGAAGGAAGAGCCAAAAAGTGACCAGTGGAGCAGTGGGGAGCAAGTCTGGACAAGTCTCTCAACACTTTTGCTGAAAAGAAGTACAAAGAAATTGCATTGTAGCTGGAGTCGAGGAGAGTTTTTTTTTTTAAGTGGAATTCATGATGGTGTACTGCTAGGAGTGATACAGGAGAGACATTCTTGACGGAGAAGTAGAAGTGAGTGATGATCTTTGAGTGGAGAGGGGTGGGATTGAGTGCACCAAGGGAGGAACTGGCTTTAGACGGGAGCTTGGCTAGTGCACTGGAAGAATCCGACCGAGGGCAGAGCGTGAGGCAGAGTTGCTGATGGATGGTTGCCTGCAGGGGCCTGTGGTAGTTTCTTAGGATTGCTTCAGTTTTCTCAATGAGTCTCTGCTTATCAGCCAGCTTTATCGTTGCCTAGTCTCTCGTGGGCTTGCCTGTCGGGAGGGGAAGTGCTTGACAGAAGACACAAGCATTATCCTGTCCCTGATTTTTTTGCTTCATTCTCTGAGTTTCTTTATTACGAGCTTTATGTCCTCATAATAAGATCAAGTTTCTTGGCCTGCATGGCTGAGAGCGTGGTTTTTTGATTGTGGTAGTTCCCCAAGGTGGTAATGTGGTCAGTTAATGAGGCCTTTAGGTGGCCAGCCAGCTGACCTTCCTTAGGGCCGCTCTGACCACCATTTCAGCCACATGTGTGTGAAAAATTAAACAATGGTGAGAGATAGTCCCTGTCCAGCCTCAGTGTGCCTGGGGTCATTATTGACACTTGATGTTTTTGTTAGTGTAGATTAGTGTAGATGCAAGAGCGCTGTTAGTTACAGGGAGAAGGAGGCCTGGTATGGCTGCTGCCTCCTCGCTCCCACTTGCGTGGAACCCCTCTCCGAGGAGCATTGCCGGGAGCTGCTGGGGAGCCCTGGCAGAAGTCAAGGTCTTTTGGTCTCAGGGACGGGGCAGACACAGGTGTCTAGAGTGATTTCTTTCCTGGTGTTTGTGATGCTCAGGAGTTGTTCAAGTTTGTGGAAATTAATTGTGTTGTCGTTTCCCATACAATAATAATTTATATTATTTTACAAATTAGGTATTAGAAGATAATCCAAGTCATTCGGACTGCGATAGCGCCCCTGAGCTGCTGAGTGACTTCAGCTGTCCTTCTTTTGTTGAAAGTGGAGCAGAGTCTCAGCCTGATGGCCATGCTCGAAAGCCTTTCTCCATCGTCAAAGCACCACAATCAGGTAAAAATGAGAATCAGACTACCTAGAATTTTAAGGCTGGCAATGCCTCTTACAAATAATGTAGTCCACTCTTTTCATATTCCAAGAAAGGGAACTTGGCCTAGCAAGGAAGAACGACTTGTTGAATCATATGGCAAGGAGAAAGGTAAACTAAATGAAATCCTAGTGCAGTTTTTTAAAAGGTACATTGTCTCCATATGACTTTTTGGGTGTGGTTTTTCAAGGGAGATGTACAGTAAGGAGATTCAGAGAGAAGGAGGCTAGCTCAGTAAGGGCAGGTGTAATACGCTCAGAGTTTTCAGAGAAAAGCTGCAGCTGAGAAATGATAGAACTTAGCCCTGTGGTAAGACAGGCAAGAGTCAAAGATAATACGCCCAGTTTCTCAGCATAAACTAATGCAAGCTGATAAAAGCTTACCTTATTATGTGTGTATGTATGTATGTGTGTCTTACTTTCCGATTTAATTCCATAATTTAAAATAGATAAGGAATAGTTGAAAGGTTACAGGTATAGACCTTCTCCTCAAAGCATTTATTCATGATTTTAGTTGTTTCCATACTCCTTTAAAAAAACAAAACATGGTGGTAAACAGAGCTCAAAGAGCAGACCAAACTTTTATTATAGATTGCTAGAATCTGATGTGTGCTGTTAGAGTTCTTTGGGAGATAGCTTCCAAACCCTCTGGTGTTTGGGATTGTTGAAATCTGTGTCAAGTCTGGTTATATGAAATTTTCAACAAAACATTTCTTGTATGGACTGCTTCTTTGCAAGCGCCTTGCCCTCCAAAGATTAAAAATTCGTTTTATGAGCATATTCGCACTTCTTGTTGGACTGCACAGTGACACAGAGAGTTGTCTTGTTATTTGTTTGGTTTTCTATTTATTATTAATCTATGATTTATTACTAATGTATCTCCACACTGCCTCTCAGTTCTAAAAGTCTCCCAATTCCGTAGATATTCTGTCAGTTTCATCTTCTGAAAGAGACTTTCTGGAGCTTCTGACCTGCTCTGGTGTAGAGTGGTGTATCTCTATCCCTGTGTCCCAGCTGTTTTGGGGATCTCTTTACCACCATCCTGAGGAGTCTGTCACCTCTCTTTTGTTAGATTTCTTACGTCCTTGATCTCACTTCATCTTCTTTCTTGGTTTACTCCTTCATTGTGCTGGAGCATCTTTATTTCGCTGAGGATATTAATGTTCTTCCCTGCTGATTTGAAAATTTGTTTTAGCCTCTGCTTTTTATATTACAGATTTCTTCAGGTGTTTAATGAGCCTAAGAAGGCTAGTCCTGTTTAAGAATGGAGATTGAAAAGTTTGATTGAAAGCTTTGTACCCATGGTGAATCTTCTCAGCTCTGCTCTACTAGAGGGTGATCTAGCTGGTTTTTCTTAGTGAACCTCCAGCATCTTTAAATCTTTTCTCCCTGAGCTGATCAAATTTTCCAGAAAAATCTCTGTGTCTTTTATTAGTAGAGTATAATCCTGGCTGTTCTGGGACCTGGGTGGGAAGAAGGCCGCAGGGGAGTAGGGAAATGGCTCAATATTCAATATGTAACTTTAACTTAATTCTCTTATTTTCAATAAAATGCCCCTACCATCAACTGTGTATGTGACTGACATGTCCTATTCCAGAGAACCCTTTGTTTTACCATCTCTAGAGGAGAAATTTCCAATTTTGTACCAAGATTGGGGAGAAGCCGTCTTTGCGTGGAATTTGAGGAGGAGTCTGGGCATCTAATTTCTTAACCAGACTTTCAAGCAGTCCTCCTGGTGTTAGTCCTCCTTCACTCAATTTCCAGGGGTACCTGGTTTAACCAATTCCTGAGCCTTCCTTAGAGGTCCCCGGGGGAGAGTTAGGTTGATTTCTGGCTTTCCCTGTTGCTGGCTTTGAACCCAGCTTTCTTAGAACTGCTAAGACAATAATAATCACCTGTCCATTTGCTTTCCAGCTTTTAGAATTTTATTGCGGGTGTCTCCTTTTCCACATTGTTTGTTCTTGCATTTATATCTTTAAGAAATTTCTTTGTGATTGTAGTGGGACAGAACAGAGGCTCATGTATGTTTTCAGTCTGCCGTCTTAACTGCAAGTCCCTACGTCTTGTTATTTATATAATACATATAGAATGTTTAAAATAATATTTTATTGAAATCTGTGGGTTTGCATAGCCTTTTAAAACAGCAGTCTTCAGACTTCAGCATCCATCAGAGTCGCCTGGAGGGCTTGTTAGACCACGGACTGCTAGGTGCAGGAGTTTGCATTTCTGATAAGTTCTTAGGCAACGCTAATACACCTGGTGCAGGGACTGTAATTTGAGAGCTACTGATCTCATTGTGTAAATTGTTACACACTGTTTCATTGCACAGAGTTACTTAATTAAATTTCCATTTCAGTCACTTAGGTTGTTTTCAGCTTTTTTCATATCACAGTGTTGCTACAGCATACCCTGACCCTAAATCTTTGCATGTTTTAAAAATCATTTCATCAGGATGAAATCTTAGAAGTAGAACAGTTAGACCACTTGTCACCAAGTATTTATTGGACTCCTCCTCTGTGCTGGAGGCTGTTCTGAGTACCCGGGACGCAGTGGTGAGCAAGACTCTGTCTTCAGGGTGCTTAGATTGCAGTAGGAGGAGCTGGACATTAAATGCACACTTGAAAAAGAAAAGTTCAGTTACCGATGAATGCTAGAAAGGATTTACAGGGTTTGGAAAGGGGATTTTGAGGGATAATTTGGAGAGTTGTTGCCCAAGAAAGCTTGCAGTCTCAGGGCCATTCCTAGTCCTGCTCTTCTGTCTACCCTCACTCCTGGCTTTAAGCACCAGCTCTATCCTGATGACTCTAAAACTCCTCTCTCTTGCCCAGCTCCCCTCTGAACTATAGGATTTTTATATCCAGCTGCCTACTCAACATTTCCATTTGTATGTTTAATAAAATCTTACATTTAACATGTGCAACTCTGATATCTTGATTTCTCTTGTCAAACCTGCTCTTTCGCCATCTTCCTTGTCTCACGAAATGACATCTCCATTCTCCTTGTTGCTCAAGCCCAAAACCTTAGAATCCTACTTTTCTTTTCTTTTTCTCATACTTCACATCCAATCCAGCAGCAAATTCTTTTGACTCTGCCTTCAAAATATGTCCAGAATCCAGCCACTTGTCACCATCTGCAGTGCTGCCACTCCAGTACAAGTGCCCTTCATTGTGGAATAGTGGTCTCCTGTGTGCCGTCCCAGAACTCCATTCTTCATTGCAGCCAGAGTAGCCTTTTAAAAAACATAAATGAGATCATATTGCTCCTCTGTTCAAAACTCTCCAGCTGTTCTTATCATACTTAGAATAAAATCCAAAGTACAAACCATGACCGACAAAGCCCTTTAATAATACGGTTTCTTATTCTCACCTGTCGTCTCCTACCACCTTCCCTCCATCTGTGATGCTCTCGCCACACTGGCTTCCTTGCTGTTCCTTCAGGTTGACTCTGCTGATGCACTTGGTGTTCTTCCCCGGGTCCTCGAGACTTACTCTTTGAATTCATTCAGGTCTCTGCTCAGATGTCACCTTCCCAAAGAGGCTTCTCTGACCACCCATGTTAAATAGCACGTCTCTTCCCGTCCCATCATTTTGTATGCCCCTGTGTTGCTGTTTCTCTGTGTTGCACTTACAAATATCTGTTAATTGTATATATGTGTATGTATATAGGTTTATTTACTGGCTGTCTCCCATTACTAGTACACAAGTTTTAAGAGAGATGAGATATTGTACACTGTCATTTCCCCAGACCTAGAAGAGTGTCACAAAGAATGAGATGGATAAGTATTTGTGGAATGAATGAGTTGAGGATGAAATCACGCCCGGGGGGCGGGGGAGGATGCCTAGAGGATGGGAGTGGGACAGGCCGCCTTAGCCAGAGTTTGGAGAACATCTCAGAGAAGGTGTGAGTTGAGGTGTGACTCAAAGGAATTACACATTTTTGCTTTGCTTTGTAATCGTTTATCCTTTTATTTCTTTCAAAAATTGTTCGTGTTCACTATGAAAAATTCAAACAACAAATCCCTCCTTGGAGTCTCAGCTCATCCCACTGCCACAAAGAACCAGCAGTGAGCTTTTTGGCCAGTTTTCTTCTAAATCATCATTGCTCTTTATTGCCAAATTGCTCTTTGTAAAGATTATATCAGTAACTTAAGATATTTAAAAATACCTCTTTGGATTTTGCTGTTTTTTTCTTTTATTAACCAAAATAGTTGTTTGCACTTAAAAAAAATCTCCATTTGTCCCTTAAGAAATGGCATCTATCTGTTCTGGATCTCTTGATGGAGTTGAATATTCTCTACGAAAGGAGAAAGGGATTGTGAAGATGTCTATGCCAAGGACGCTTGCTTTCTGCTATCTGTCCTTACTTTGGCAGAGAGAGACAGTTACTCTGTCAGATCTTTTGAGGTAAGTGGGCCTCTTGTATGATGATGCTTCTGCTGATTATCTGTGTGAACTAGGGGACAGCCTTTGGGTATTTTGAATTTTACAAGGAGCCTTAAATTAAGGAAGGGAAAGATTGGGTGGTTGAGTTCTGACTCTGAAATTTAATATTCCCTGGTCTAATAATTCATCTCCTTGGTCTCCTTATTTACATAGTGGAAATAATACTCTTTATCTTACATGGGGTCTTATAAAATTAATTATCTAGTGTGAGCAAAATGCTTTGAAGATGAAAAGTGACATTTAAGTACCTGAGTAGTGTGAAGTATTTTTCATTTTTAAGCGAGAAGATGAACAGATGACCTTTATGTTGGCAAATGGTTATTAATAGTTACACACAAGCATGCATTGGTGTTGTTAAAGAGCTAAAATATAGAGTATGTTTATAAGGTAAAATTGAAAACAAAACTATTAGAAGAACCTATTATGTAGATAGCTTTTACAGTTTTCAAGATAATCTACAGGGTTTTATAGTTAATGAATGAATTATGGTGTTGAATATAAGAATTTCTCATTAAATAGAAGATATGCCAAAGTCATTAATGTATTCATTTTTCCCTTGTCATACTATGTGTTCTAAATAGCAACATTTGGGTTTAATCACTGTGTGAAGTGATTTTTTAAGAGCACAAATTTAGAACCAGACTCCTGGGTTCCAATCCTGGCTCTGCCATTATGTGTTATAGGACCTCTAGTGTAAGTTATTTAATTCCTCTCTGTCTCCGTTTCCTCATTAGTAAAATGAGGCTAAGGATAATATCTACCTCAGAGGGTTGAAACTACTTTCAATAATTAGTACTACACGGAAAGCACATGCATAATAAGAACTCAGTGCTAGTGATGATTGTTTTTGTCTTTTTCATCATCTTCATCATCATTGACACTAGGCCTCTTGATTGAATAAAACACCTCGGTAAATGAGGATAGTGCCTTCGAATTTGGCCACATCAACCGAACAACAAGATGTGGTTAACTCTACATGCAGATAGTCCATGATTCAGTAAATTTTACTGTTAAGTTAAAAACCTCCTCTTGTTCTGGATGCCCTCCCTGGGTGATGTCATCCTCTCCCAAGGCTCTAATTACCACCTATATGATGGTGACTCCTGAATCTATATTTCTAGCCCAGACTTGTCTGCTGAGGGCCAGCCCTGTGTATTCACATACACAGCTGCCTGCTGGACACTGCCACTCCATCATCTACCTCCGCCATCTAGCCCCTCCTCCATGTTTCCTCTCTTTGTAAATACCCTGTGCCCTGTTGCATCCCGTACTAGGACTCACCCCTGCCTCCTTCCTCTCTCTACGTATAGTTAGTCATTATATCCTCTCAATTATCCTCCCAAAATAACTCAAAACCATTTTTCCCCATTCCTTCTGTGTCTATCTTCACCTGGATTCTATCTTCACCTGAATTACTTAGCAACCTCCCAAGTGAGCCTTGTGCCACTCCTATCCATTTTCCTCCTGATAACCAGAGGGAAATAATCTTACAGAAATAGCAGTCTAATCATGTCACTGGAGCTGGATAAAGGGGCTAGGTGTCCTACCCAGGGCAATCAATGAGGGGGTAATAAAACTCTCCTAGAAATCTAACAAGATGGAGAAAATAATATTTGCCCTAAAGTCTTCTCAGGGAGAGTATGGTCTTTGGTTGGAAGGATGGGGATAATATCCTACACATTTGTCTGTCTCTCTGTCTCTCCCCACTCTTTCTACTTCTCTCCTGCCCCTCTGTCTCTGTTCTTCCTTTCCTCCCTCTTTCCTCCCTTCCCCCTCCAAGGGGAATTCTAAAGTACCCTCAAGGAGATTAGATCTAGTTAGCTGGAGGGCTTTTATTTTGCTCTGTGGGACAAATTTGGGACTTGGAGCAATAGGAGAGAAGACTTCACCACTGATCCTCTTTCTCTGCTTTTCTTGGAAAAGCACTCTAAAAGAGTCATAGGTTCTCAAAGCGTGGTCCCCTGACCAGTAGTATCAGCATCACTTGGGAATTTGTTAGAAATGCAAATTCTTGGACCCATCTAACCTGAATCATAAGGTTACTGATCCCGCATGTCACTACCCTGTTTAAATCCTCTAGCAGCATCTGTGGGCCTTAGGATACATTCCTGAACCTTAAAATAGCCTTTAAAGTGCCTTGCCTACCTTGCGATAACAACAATAATAGATAAAAATAGCCATCATGTATTCATTCCACAAATATTCACTGAATATCTGCTCTGTTTAGGTATTGTTCTGGAGTCTAGAACACAGTGAGACACAGTTGTGAATCATATAAATCAAGTCCTTGCTCTCATGAAGTTTAAGGCTAGAGGAGGAAACAGATGAGCAAATACATAAATAAGTAAGAAATGATCAGACAGTGAAGTGCTGTTCAGAAGATTGGAACAGGATGATGTGATAGAGAATGACTCGATGGCTACTTTAGATTGGTTATCAGGGAAGGCCTCACTGAGAAGGTGGAATTTAAGCTGCACTTTGAATGAAAATAGAGCCAGCAGTTGAATATCAGAAGTACTAGCATTCCAGGGAGAGGGGGTGCCAGGCCCTGAAGCAAGAGCCAGCTCTGTATGATCAAGGAGCAGAGGAGGCCACTGTGATGAGAGTAAGTTGAAGGAGAAGTCAGAAGATGAGGGCAGGGAGATAATAAGGAAGAGCCAGAAATAGCCAAGGGGGAGTTTGGATTTTTTTTTAGAAAACTGAGGTATAATTCATACACAATTCACCCTTTTTAATTGTGCGATTCAGTGCTTTTCAGTGTATTCACAAGACTGTACAGCCATCACCTCTCTTGCCAGGACATACTCATCACGCCTAAACAAAACCCCATACCTATAGGGAGTTTGGCTGTCAGTGATAGTAAGCCCGGAAGATTTTAGCAGGAGAGACGTGATCTGATTTATGTTTTCAAGATCGTTCAGGCGACTGTGAGGACAGTGGGTTCTAGGCAGACATGGGTGGGAGCAGGGGGCCAGGTGGTCTCTCCTGTACTTAAGACCAGAGATAGTGGCTTGGATTAGGGTGGTGGTGACAGAAGTGGAATGATGTGAAGGGGCTCAGGATATGTTTTGCAGGTAGACATGACATAATTGTAATGCAGTGAGTGCTTCTTAAGTTACCTGTGATGAAGAACCAATTTGTTAACTTTCCAGCCTGTCACAGATCGCAACTTTTGAAAAATACAATAAAATTATAAGTAGAGACAGTGTTTCCTGGGGATGTAGCTGAAGTAGTGGTCTGCTGGTTACGAGGGGCATGTGGAATGCTTTTAGTCTATCCCAAGTCCTCTGTCAACTTATGGATTGATCCAGAGACCCATCTGATCATCAGGAAAATAGATTGTTTAGAATTTTCATTCATTGGCTATCTTTTGGGAAAGTATGTATTTTTCTAAAAGGAAATGCAAATTCAGAAAGAAAAAAAAATACTTTGGGAAGAGATTAAAAGCAATGGTGAAAGTATAAACAGTGAAAATTGTTAAAACCCCAGATGCCCAAGACCTGCTCTGTGCAGACATCCTGTTTTCCCTGGGCAAGTTTCTTGTTCCTTCCTCCGCTCCTGCAGCCCTGTGTGTAGCCCTCCATGGGGGCACTGTGGCACTGCTGGTGCTGAGGCTTCCATGGCTGTTTGACCTGCTAGGGTCATGATGGGAACTCTTCAAGCCTTTCTTAGTCATCTCTAAACTCCCAACACCTCCCAGTGCTGAATCATCACATGGGAGTAATGACTAAATTATTAATACATAAACGTGGAAATGCTAGGTAGTTATAAAAATGATAAGCATGCAATACATCCTGCATATCAAATAATATTAAACCAAAAATGTACTTGCAAAATAATAGGAATACTGATTACTATGTACAATTACTTTCATATGAAATTTTTTTAGATAATGAAAACCTAGCTGGGGGAGGCTTTCCTCTTAGAGCTGTTGTAAAGAACCCTGTGTTATCAAGCTTCACAAAACACCATTTTTACATAAAATATTTACCTTAATTCTCAACATTGAGTAGACTAAAAAGTAAAAAAAAAAATCACATTTATAATTTGAAATCGAATTGAATCAATACTATTCTTTAAGTGCTAGAAAACTGAAAACCAGATGTCAGGCTAGCTCTCATAACAGCAGAGATTTCAAGGCAAAATATTTTGTGTACTTATTCCTATCTTTATCTTATTTTCCTTAACAATTTTCTTGTTTTAAAAATCTAATATACATATATTAGCACAAATATATATATATATAGCACAGATTGCAATACCCCCATTCCTCATTCTCTGTTCTGTTTTTTTCCTTACCATTTTCTCTTACCTAACATTACTGTAGATTTCACTTGTTTTGTTTGGAATCTTTCTCTTACCTCCATGGGAAGAAGAATATTTTCCTGTCTTGTTCACTGCTGTACCCTCCAGCCTAGAATAGCGCTGGGTATATAGGACTCAATAACTTTCTGTTGAATGAATGAATGAATTTTAAATAACTGTGTATATGTGGTTATTTATATATATGTGTTATTTTCTTCAAACTCAATAATTTACTCAAAATATTTGACCAGCTACCGTGTACTGGACATTGAGATGGAGTGGTAAACAGATGTTCCTTTCCTTAATTGTTCTTCCAGTGACAAGCACCTGCCATGCGTTGTCGTAGGTACTGGGGACAGAATGATGGACAAGGGAGATACTCTAATAAGGAAGACAGGGATCTAGGAAGGTCTCCCTGAAGAAGTGATTTAAAAGATGAGTAGGAGCTAATCACGTGAGGGAACTGGAATGGAAGGAAGGAACCACGTCTTTGAGCCTGGTGGCAAATCTAAGATAAACACACCTTTTAGAAATAGTTCACCTAGGCAGAGACTTAAGAGATCATTAGATAATCAACCAAATGTTTTCTTCACACATGGATGCGGGAAATTATTGATATTTTCAGGTTAATTATCCTTAAAAATATTTAGGCTATACAATGTACTCAACTCATTCTTACCTTATCTTTGAAGTACAACATGTTTACCTCTTTTTTTCTACTTTGCTAAATCAATACGTATCTCTTACTGAAAAAACTTTCTTTTCAAAAATACAGATTTGTTGAAGAGGAGTATATTCCTTACATACATGCTTTTCAACAATTTCCAGAAGAGATGAAATTATATGGGCGTGACAAAGGAATCTTCGCTATAGAGGTAAGTAAGCTATTTTCTTTTTTACTTTGTAGTCACTTACAAGACACAGTAGTAATATGACGATTTATATTCCTTTCCTGACTTACTGCTTGGTGTTGGAGTTTTTAAAAATGTCATCTAGTTTTTGTTCTGTTCAAATGTGGAACATTAGTCATAATTTAATGAAGAGTAGAATTATTCTTTCTTATTTTCCTTATGTAGCTTCCTCTAATCCTTTAAGTTATTCTCAAAATACAGCTATAAGGTGAGGTGTGTGCATTGCAAATAGGTATGTTGTTGAGATTGGTTTTTTTATCTTTTTAATGGCATCCCATGCTCGATGAGACAAGCCTGAATTTCCTAGGCGTACCTGGGACAATACTGATGGTGTCTTGAAACTGTCACATAGGAGTTTTTTTTTTTAATAATTGATTTAAAAATATGTATAATTCATTAATTAATAATTTTAAATTTAGCTGCTAAATGAGCCTTGTTTAAATGTTCTGCTGAAAGGAAAAGATATTTAGTTCAATAATTCTAAGTGTATATCTTTATAGTTCAGTTTTCCTACAGGGACCAAAGATGGAACTGTGCTACATTTTTGCATTAGTTATCAGCTTAGTCTTGGCTTATCTCTGTCTTTCCTCTCTCTCCCTCCCTTCTTTCCACCCTCTCCCTGCCCCTCCCTTTCCTTCTTCCCTTCTCTCTTTCTCTCGCTTAACCTCCAGTGTATTCTGTGTCTTATATCCTGACTGACTGGGTTTTAACCTGATTTCTCAGAGCCGTTCATCAAATCATATTGAAATTTTTGCTTGGTTGAGGTTATTTGTACTTTTTGTTGATACCTAAGATTATTACTTTAACTCCCTAACCAAACTGTAAACTTCTCAAGAATAAACACCAGAATTTTATATAAAGTCACAGAATATCAAAACTGAAGGAAAATTTAGAGATCACTTAGTCCACTTTTCTTATTTTTCCAAAAAGGAAACAGGCCTAAGAAGAAATGTGACTTGGAAATAATAAACCTCTACTTCATTAGGGTTTTCATGAGGAGTATTTGAGATACGTTCAAAATGCAGACATATCACAGACATTGAAATGGTAAAAGGCTCCCTTCCAGGCCCCAGGGTGGAAAACTTTTCCTCTAAAGTGGGAATTAAGAGGATAATCAAGCTGCCTGGAGAAAAAATTGCATCATTTTTAGAAAATAAAGTTTTTGTTTTAAAAGTCTGTTTTAAAAAAAGATAAAACCTGACAACCTTAAATGTGCCCATTTCTAAGTTTTCTCAAAGTAAGTTCTAGAAAGTCCGTGGATATGACTTACTTTTCATTATAGTATTTTATAATTTTGATTACCATAAATTCAGCTTCTTACAAGGGATGTTGCTTCCTGGGCTGGGTTTATATGCTTGGGATTGGTATCTGACCGTAATTTCCTTTTGAATTAGGAAATTTGGCTTCACTTTATGTATACTCAGACAGATACTCAAACTTCACTCAGTAAAAATAATTATTTAAAAAAATTTACTCTGTGTTTTTTCAGATAGTAATAGATCCAATTATTGCCACATGTTTAAATGACTGCAAGAATGACATATAATGCACAGAATCAAGAGAGTGTTATTGTAATAGTCAATGTGGCTTACACTTCTCAGAAGCCTAGTTTAAGCCTTTAGTTAATATTTGCATTGCCCTTCTATGAGCAGTGTGGTAAGAAGTCCCTGCAAGTATTATAGCCACATTTATTTCTGGTGATGTTTCAAGATTTCAGCCTGAAAAATTACATTCTCAATATTGTATCAAATCTAAACTGCCCCTCCTAAGTTTTTATAATTTGAGACCTAAGTTTTATAAATTAAGAGGGGAAATGAGATATGTTTACTTGCTTGGTTTATTTTTGCTCTGAAACCATTCAAATACTAATTTTTACTCATCCTATCATTTACTGAGAGAAGAGTATTGAAATCTCCAACTATGATAGCAAGCAACTTTTCTTTCACATTCTATCAATTTTTGCTTCAGGTATTTTGTAGCACTATACTAGGTGCCTCATACTTAGAATATTTGTCTTCTTTATGAATTGACTCCTTTATCACTATGTAATGTCCTTTTTTCCCCCCGATAATATTTCTTGTTCCAGTGTCTACCTTGTCTAATATTAAGATAGCCACTCTGATTCTTTTTTAAATTAATGTTTGTACACTGCATCTTTTTTCAGTCTTTTATTTTTAATTTATCTGTTTCTTAATATTTGAAGTGTATTTCTGGTTGGTAGTGTTAAATCTTGATTTTTTTAAAGCTAGTCTGGTAATCTCTGCGTTTTAGACTCTTTAGACCATTTATATTTAATGTAACTACAATAATGTTAGGTTTAAATTTACCATCTTGCTATTATTTATCCCATCTGATTTTTATTTCTTTTTTTTCTTTTCCTACCTTTTTTGAATTAAGATTTTTTTTATAATTCCATTTTATCTCCACTATTGATTTATTAACTATACCTCTAGTTTTTGAGAGGTTGTTCTGGAGTTTATAATATTCATCTTTAATGTATCACAGTCTACCTCAAATAGTATTATACCAGTACATGTACAGTGTAAGACCCTTACAACAATATACCTACTTCCAGTTCCCTTGTCCCATCCCTTAGTGTTAAACATTTTATTTTTACCTGTTAGATATTCCACAATGCATTGGGATTATTTTTGCTTTAAAAAGTCATTTATCTTTTTAAGAAATAATGAAGAATCTGTAATTACTTTGGGTAATATGGACATTTTAATAGTATCAATTCTTACAATCCATGCGCACAGAATGTATTTCCATATATTTATGTCTTCTTCAATTTCTTTCATCACTGTTTTACATTTTTCAGTGTACAGATCTTTAACCTTCTTGGTTAAATTTATTCCTAGATATTTTACCCTTTTTGATGCAATTGTAAATGGGATTTTTAAAAAAAATTCTCTTTCTGATAGTTCATTGTTAGTGTATAGAAATGCAATAGATTTTCTTTTGTTGGGGGGAGGGGATTAGGTTTATTTATTTATTATTTTTAGTGGAGATACTGGGGATTGAACCCAGGACCTTGTGCATGGTAAGCATGCCCTCTACCAATGAGCTGTACCCTCCTCCCCGAAGCTGATTTTCATATATTGATTTTGTATCCTGCAATTTACTGAATTTGTTTATACTAACAGTTTTTTCTGGGTGGAGTCTTTAGGATTTCCTACGTGTAATACCATGTCACCTGCAAATAGAGATAGTTTTACTTCTTTCTTTTTGATGTGGATGCCTTTTCTTTCTTTTTCCTGCCTAACTCTTCTGATTAGGACTTCCAGTACCACATGGAATAATATCCTTGTCTTATTCCTGATGTTAGAGGAAAAGCTTTTAACTTTTCACCATTGAGTATGATGTTAGATATGGGCTTGTCAAATGTAGGCCTTGCCTGATTTCTGATGAGAAGCCAGTCTGCTGTCATTCTTTTCTTTGTTATACTCTATGTAATTTTTCTTTCTTTTCTTCTAGTTGCTTTTATTTTCCCTTCTAGTTGCTTTTTAAGATTTTTGCTTTATCACTTGTTTTTCATCAGTTGGATTGTGATGTGCCTTGGCACGGTTCCTTCTGCCTTGGGGTTCATTGACCTTAGATCTGTGGGTGTATGGTTTTCATCAAATTTGGAAACTTTTTATTCTTCATTTCTTCAAAAAATTTTTTCCTCTTCACCTTGATTTTTTTCTGGGATACCAGTTACATGTTAGACCACAGCTCACGAAGGCTTCTGTTCTCTCTCGTTTTTTCCCTCAGTGTGTCTTGTTTTGGATAGTTTCTAAGGCGATATCTTCAGATTCACTGAGCTTTACTTCTTGAGTGTCTAATACTGCTGTTAAACCCACCTGGTATGTTTTTCATTTCAGATTGTGTATTTTTCATTTCTAGAAGTTTCATGTTAGTCTTATTTTTTTTATTTCCCTCATTATGTTTTCTTTTACATCCTCAAGTTTATCGACAATGTGTATAATAGGTGTTTGAAGGTTCTTGTCTACTCTGTTATTTCTGGTCTGTTTCAGATGATTGGTTTATCTGCTGATTATGTGTCATGTTTTCCTGCTTCTTTGCATGCCTGGTGATTTTTATTGAATGTAGATTTTATATTGTTGAATACTGGATTTTTATTCCGGTGTATGACTGGATAACTTGGATGTCAGTTTGATCTTTTAAAACCTATTTTTAAGCTTTTTTTTTTTAATGGCTGTTCCAGAGCCTTTATTCTGGGACTAATTTAGCTGCACTACTAAGGCATGTCCCTCAGAATTGTTTGGATTCGTTGGGAAAATCCAGTGATTTTTTTTCCCCCTCAGCGTTAGGTTTTTTCTTTGCAGATCTCCGGAATTCTCTCTCTGCAGCTTTATCCTCACTGGTACTTCGCCTGCAAATTACAGACACCTCAGTTTCTAGGAACTGCAGCCTCTCCTTAACTCAGCATGACCACTGGGCTCTGTTTCACTCCCTGTTCCCTACACACAGTTTGGAGACTGCCTCCGGGAGTAATCTGTGGCCACTTATTTCTCTTCTCAGGGAGTATAGTCCTGTGCTTCCTTTTGTCCAGTGCCTGAAACTGTTGTTTCATGCATTTTTTTTCCTGTTCTATGTTTGTAGTAGGAAGTCAATTCCTGAAGTAGTTAATCCTTCATGGGCAGAAACAGAAGTGTTCCAAATACTAATTTTTAGACATTTAGAAGTAGAATTATTGTTTAGATGCTTTTTAGGTGAGTATTACCTAAACCATTCTTTCTTGAATGCCTAAAAGTATCTTATTGCTCATTCATTCTTGGATTAAAAAAAATTATATTCATGAATATTATCTAATCTTTGCTTCAAAATTTTCTACAGTTATTGGAGGGTCATGGTTATAGGATTTTGTTCATACAAAATACTTGCCCTAATAATAATCTCTTTTGTTGACTATTTTTGTTATTTTTGAGTGAGGGGACAGAGGTAAAATAGGGGAGTGA